GATAGGTTCGCAGGCACTGCGGGGCCTGGCGGGCAGTGTGGCCTCTGCAAGCTGCAGCCTGGGGTGTCTGGCTGCCCCGCGAGGCCCAGCTGGGTCAGGCTCCGGACGTGGACAGAGGTGGACGGGCAGGTGAGGAGCAGCAGCCTGGCTCCCTGCCAGCCCAGGTGTAGTTCCGGCTTCCGTTCTCAGGCTTCTCCTCGGGTTAAAGGTTTTATTTTCCAACGAGCTCTTTTGCACCAAATGCCAAGGCAAATTGCCAAAGGACATCCTGAAACCGCAAAGGGGACAATAGGGTTTGTCCCCAGAGCCATCCTAGAGCGATCAGTGTGCCCCTGGCGGGGGCAGGGAGGATCTGGGGCGGGTTTGAGCAGTGCTGTCCGATATGTAATTTCAAACCTCCTAGTGCCATGTCAGAGGGGTAAAAAGAAACAGGTGGAGTTCGTTTGAATTATGTGTTTTACATAGGCCCCAAATACTGTTGTGTCATGTGATCAATTTAAAAATTGTTAAAGCTTTTTATGTTCTTTCTTTCTTTCTTTTTGTGGGGGTTACTGTATCAGTTTCCTGGGTCTGCGGTAACACATGATCACAAGCTGGGAGACTTAAAACGATAGAAATTTATTCTTTCATGGTCTGGAGGCCAGAAGTCGGAGAGCAAGGCTTCGGCAGGGCTGAGCTCCCTCCGGAGGTTCTGGGGGAGGATGTTCACTGTCTCTTCCAGCTTCTGGGGGCTCTAGGTGTCCTTGGCTCGCAGCCACATCACCCCAGTGTCTGCTTCTGTCTCCCCATGGTCCTCTGCCCGTGTCTGCCTTGTCTCCCCATGGCCTTTCCTTCTTATAAGGACGCCTGCTATTGCGTTAGGGACCACTTACCCCAGCGTGACCTCATGTCAACAGCTGCAAAGACCTGTTTCTGAATAAGGCCACATCCACAGGAACCAGGGGTCAGGACGTGGACACACCTTTCTGGGACTCACAGCATGCCCTAAGTGACTGGTCCCCTCTTCTCCCCTAAACTGGGCGGAGCATGCACTGCTAAAGTTTGTGCCTCTGAACCCGTATTTTGGGGGCCTGTGTCCCTATGGGCTTTTGTCCTCAGAGCCATTCACATTTCTGATCACAGCGAGTCGGGGCAGAGGGCGGCCCTCTGCTGTCACACGCTCATGGTGTCTTAAGTGATTCCCCCCAGCTGCAGGGGGTACCTCTCTGGGCTTGGGCCGTGTGGCTCGCGTCATCTGTCCCCACCTCGCCGCTGCAGCCTGGCCCCGGAGAAGGGCCCACAGGTTGTCCGTCTTTCCGCAGCGACCCGTCTGGCGAGGAGACGTTCCGTGTGCAGGTCCCCGACTCCATCACCAGCTGGGTGGGCGAGGCTGTGGGTCTGTCCTCGGCGTGGGGCCTGGGCATCGCCACGCCCTCCTTGCTGAAGACCTTCAAGCCCTTCTTTGTGGACTTCACGCTGCCCCCCCAGGTGGTCCGCGGGGAGCAGGTCAAGATCCCGCTCAGCATCTACAACTACATGGGCACCTGCGCTGAGGTATTGAGCCCCCCACAGCCCTCTGTTGGGGGGCAGCACCCATGATATCAGGAAGCGGGCGGGTGGGGTCGTCCGGGGGGGATGTTAGAGGGGGCACAGCATCTTTGCTATCAGGGAAGCAGGGGAGAGATGGGGTCATCCTGGGGAGGCCGTGGGGTGAGCATCTGGGATATCGGGAAGGTATGGGAAGCGGGGCCATCCTGGGGGCCGTGGGAATAGCATCTGGGATATTGGGGACACAGGGTGGGGACTGCGGGGACAGCGTCTGTGTTGTGGAGGAGGCAGAGGCAGGATGGGATCGGCCTCTGATCCACCA